TCATCACCCTCTCCAGCTCCACCCTGAATCCGCCACCAGTTGTGCTCCTGCCGCAGCCTCACCCTCGGCCTGAGCCTCCAGGAACCCCCTTCCAACAGTGGCCCGCGTCCTTTTCTTGCTCTGTGTCAGCCAGACCTGCCTCGTTGGCTTCTGACACCCTCGGGCCTTCGCACTTGCTCTTCCTTTTCTTCCTGTATCGCTGTTCTCTGTCCCACTTCCTGCAGTCTCTGCTCCAGCGTCACCTCCTAGGTTGCCTTCCCCGACCACTTCCTACTCTATTCTTGGACAGTCCGTGTCTGTCTGGTGTACTGGCTGTCTCCCTGCTCTAGAATGTAGGCTCCACAAGGGCGAGGTCACTTCCCCTCCTGCTTCCCCACACAGGAGCAGGAATGGAGGCCTGCCTGGCACATGTGGCTCTGGGAGCAGCTCACTGAGGCCCTGGCTGCGTTCATGGTCTCCGGTTTCCTACTAAGGATACTGTCAACAGCCACAATGGAAGCTTCCCGACATGGAAGGATGTGGTTTAAGAGGACAAGGCTACTAAATTTTCCAGGCTGTCCAGTAAAATGCTGGGCAGGGATGCAGAAGGTCCCTGGGACCCTGAAGGTGTGTGTTTAGCCCGGCAAGTCCCTCGTGCCTTCTTGCTGTGTCCCCAGGTTCCCGTTCAGCCGCCCGGAGCTGCTGAAGGAATGGGTGCTGAACATCGGCCGGGGCGACTTTGAGCCCAAGCAGCACACGGTCATCTGCTCCGAGCACTTCCGGCCCGAGTGCTTCAGTGCCTTTGGGAACCGCAAGAACCTGAAGCACAACGCGGTGCCCACAGTGTTCGCCTTCCAGGGCTCCCCACAGGTGCGTGGCCACCGGGGTCCCCCACCTGGCAGTGGGGTGGGCACCGGTGTCATTTGCGGGGATAGCAGAGGCTGAAAACTGTCAGGCCCCTAGGTCCGAAGCCTAGGGCCCCCTCCTGGCCCTGAGCTTTAGGAAATCTGCAGTTCAAAGCTGCTTTAAAGACGAGTCACTTCATGATGGGTACTACGGAAGCAGCTGATGGGGAGGGGGCCGAGAGCTTGCTCCTTTCTGCGCTTCACTTTGTGGGGCCTCACTTGGGCTCGAGGGAGGTGAGGACTTTCCTGTCCAGGGCACAGGAGGACGATGTTGGTGGAGTGCTGGAGGGGGACAGGGACAGTGGAGCGAGGCTGGGTGGGGGCAGGATCTGAGCATGCTCGGGAGCAGCAGCAGCTCAGGCCCTGTGGAGGGCGCAGGGCCAGGTGGTGACAGGCTTGGACGGGTGGTGGTTTTCTTCAAAGGGGTGGAGGGCTTGACATACAGGGATCTTAGTTTCCCAACCAGGGATTGAACCCTTGCCCCCTGCAGTGGAAGTGCAGAGCCCTAACCACTGGACCACCAGGGAAGTCCTGGACAGGAGGTGGGTTTTCGGGGGGAGGCCAGTGGGGAGGGACGTGACTTCGGAAGGTCCCTCTGGAGGCTGGTTCAGAGGCCACTGTGGCATCGCAGGTGAGGGTGGTCATGGTGGCCTGAGCCAAAAGTGGGTGTGATGATGAGAAGATGGAGCAGGCAACTTTGGAGACCTGTTGGGTTGAGAAGGAGGTGGTCTGGGGGTTAGGGGGAGTCCCTGATTCCCTGAGACGGCCCTGAGCACGTGGAGTTTGGCTTCCTAGTGTGATACCAAGGCAGACATGTCTGGTGGGGCAGGATGTATGGGTTTGGCCCAGGAGGGGATACAACAGGACAGTTGGAGCTGGAGCCCTGAGGCGGTCATAGTGAATTTTACAAGTCCTCACTGTGCCGTGAGTCCCAGAGGGAGGGCTGGAGCCTGGGAGGCAGAGCAGAGGTGGAACAGACGGAAGACCTGCAGGTACCCACACTGGTGTTAAGGAGGGGAGAAGGGAGCCAGTGGGCACCATGAGCTTCCGGCTGTGGGGCGTCAGGCCTCTGCCCTTGATCCTTGTCCGCCTGATTATGCAGCCTAACCAAGTCCAGGTCCCCGCCACCGTGCTTCTCCCCGCTGGTCCTCAGACTCTCTGGTAGCTGTGAGCATCTGCCCAGGGGATGCTCCCTGAGGGCTGGGCTTTGCTCCATGGGTTTTATTCCCATGTCCAGGAACATTGCTTGGCACAAAGTAGGGGCTGTTGGTTCTTTCTTTTAAATGTGGAAGGCATTTTATTTTATATATATATATATATATATATATATATATATATATATACTTATTTTATCATGGTAAAAACACTCACCCTGAGATCTATTGTTTAACACACATTAAATGCACAGCACATTATTGTGGGCTATAGGGATGTGGTACCGTGGGGCTCTGGAAATTATAGTTTGCTGACCTGAAACTCCCATCGTGGATCAGGAACCCTCCACCTGCCCTGTTCAGTCAGGGTGACGACTTTCACGGCGTTTGTAGGAAACTGCAGACGTTTGTGGTCCTGCCTCTAGTGCTTTTGGTGCCTGGGGGCAGAGTGGGGGCGGGGGGGTAGTTGAAATTGTGGTCCCCATGGCTTCTGATCAGTTCTTTGGAGGCCTGGGTACTATAGGCTCTGAGCTGGGTATTTTCCCTTGAAGAATGCCAGGCCCTGGGGCAGCATGTATCAATTAGACAGGTCCCTGGCTTCAGTGGGTCTCTGACCCAAGAGTTTGGGAACGGTGGAGAAGGAAGGGCACTGGTGGATGGTGAGAGGAGAGCTGGGCTGGGCTGAGCGTAGGGACAGAGACAGGTGAGGCCTGATGGGCCCTCTGGTGCAGATTTCCTGTGCCCGCCCCAGGGCCTGTCCACAGCAGCTCTGCGTCTCTTGCAGCTGGTGAGGGAGAACACGGACCCTACCGGCCGGAGTGGAGACGCCACCTCTGGGGAGAGAAAGGTGAGTCTGCCCTGCTGGTCACGAGTGTTCCAACTCAGCTGCTGCGCCTTCCCGCCAGGCTGGCCCACTGGAGCTCATCATACTTTCCTTACAAGCTGGGGTTTGGGTTGTTTTCCTAGAGGAGAAGCCGAAGCCATCCATGCCTCCTCCTCCGTGTTCAGTATCAAGCAGTGGCAGCCGGTCGCAAGTCTGGCTCCTGCTCCGTTTCTAAGGGTTTGGCCCCAGGCCCTGGAGGACGCTGGCTATCCTGTTGGTGCCCTGGCAGCCCCCGTGTGGTGTGAAGGGATTCCTGGCAGGATAAGTAGCAGCTGGGGAGGACCAGTGAGCGGCCGGCTCCACCCTGTCTTTCCAGGTCCTCCCTGAGACGGAGCCTGGGGAGTGTGGCCTGGGGAGGAAGGTGGAAACGACGGTTGAAGCGCTGCAGCTGCCCCCCGAGGTTGGAGGCCCAGGAGCACAGGTGAGGCTGGGCTGGGCATGAAGGCAGTGCGGGACTGGTCTCAGTCTGAGGGGATTTGCTTCAAACAGAATGAAGAAAACTGGTGCCCAAACCAGTGCACCATGACATATAGCCTGGACCTCAGACTTTACTTGGAACAGCTGCGGCTCGGCAGTTGTGGGTGACAGGGGAGCCCTCTTGGCCTCAGGTGCCTGGCCACTGCTCTGGTCTCTGACTGACCTCTGTCCTCAGGTCCCGCCACACACACCTGAAGCCTCTGGGGTCCCTGGTCAGCCAGCTAGCCCCCCAGAGCTGAAGAGGCGCTTCCCCACACAGCCATCCGATCATAGCTATGCCCTTTTGGACTTAGACGCCCTTAAAAAAAAACTCTTCCTGACTCTGAAGGAGAACGAAAAGCTCCGTAGGCGCCTGAAGGCCCAGAGGCTGGTGATGCGGAGGATGTGCAGCCGTCTGCGGGCCTGCCTTGCGGGGCAGCCGGGACTCCAGGCCAGGCCTCGGCTGGGGCAGCAGAGCTGAGCTGCCCACTGGGCCCTGTTGTCTGAGCCTCTGAGAGGAGGGGCCGTGGTTTCTGGACTCTGGCTGTGGACCTTTTGGTCCCACTTTGACCCTCGGGCCAGCGCCGCCTCAGGTGGAGTGTGGTGGCCCCAGGCGGGGAGGAGGCCGGGGCCCTGATCAGCACACCTTGGCGCTCCCTTCGGAAGGTGATAGCCCAGCTGCCCCTAGCACAAGCTGGGTGAGTGTCCTTGGAACCACCCTGGGCCAGTGTGGCAGACCATGTCCTTGAGGGCTAGGTGGGCCCCGGTGGGGGTGTGGGGGTGTGGGGTGCTGGCTGACCCTAAGGCAGCGAGGTGTCCCCTCCATCACCTGGATGGCTGGCTCCATCCCAGGAGCACCTCTGCGCAGCCGGTGTGAGTGAGCAATGTAATAAAGTGTCTTCCTGTCCCGCGTGCCGCCTCCTTTATTTAAAAGTGAGTGAGCACTGATTTGAGTTCTGAGCATGGTCACAGCTGAGGAGACTGACTTCCTATTTCCTGCAGAAGGGCTAGCAGGGTGTGACCACCTTTGATTACCCAAAAAAGTTGCCTTTAATAAAAAACAAAACAAAAACAACCTAGCCTGTGATTTCAACTCTGGACTCTTAAAATTCTCAGGTAAATGTCTGGCAGAGAAAATACCCCCAGCCTCAAGTTAGGTCTCATGGTTTGAACCCTGAGAACAGAGGGTGGGATGAGGCCTATGAGGCGGCGGCAAGTCCCTCTGCCAGCTGGCTCCTAAAGTGAACACACAGACACATAGACACTGCCCCCGGCTTTCAGGAAAGATTTATTGTGGTAAGAGCGTGTCCTCTGTTCAGTCCCTGTTCAACAACAGGAGGGACGGCCTGCCAGGAGGGGCACAGGCTGTGGCCAAGGTCGGACTCCACTAACTCGACACTTATTGCACGATTTACATTCAGAGCAGCAGCTCCTGCAGGGAACTTTTAAGTGGAGATAAATATTACAGAATTGGACAACCTGAACTATCTTTAAACACTGGAGGAAGGGGATTGTGAGTGACTTCTCCGGTACCGACATCAGGAGCAAGGCCTGATTGAACAGGAGCCGCACGGAGGCTGCCTGAACCCCCACCAGCCAGGCATCCGCTCCTCCGGTGACTGTTCACCAACCAGGCTGGGCAGGAGGGGCCTGGTCCTGAAATACTCTGCATCTGCAAAAGAGGTGTGTGAAGGAAGGGGATCCCAGGAGCAGACACCCAAATGGGTACGGGCAGCCCAGAGGAGACGGACTGACCCGGTGTGGGAGCAGCAGTGCCACCGGCTGGCAGCGAGCAGGGAGGAGCCCGCCGGAACCCCCTGAGCCTCTTGGCTCCCACTCTGACCTCTGGGGGCCACCTGGACTGAGCTGCATGGGGAAGGGCAGAGGCATTGCGGTTTCCGAGGACACAGGTGGCTCCTGGGACCGGAGTGACATCCTCTGTCCCAAGCCAGGTGCCAGTGGAATGACTTGAGAAGTTCTGGGAGGGGACGAAGGAGACTTAATTCCCAAAGCCACTCGTTCTCAGGTAAAAAGCAGATTTATAAACCCACACCATCCTGTCCAGATTCACGCAGTCACATTTCAGCAGGAAGGTGACTCAACAGGCGCTCACTTGATCCAGAGACTCAGCTCCTGGGAATGCCTTCCCTCCTTCCATTTTGTTTTCTGTGTTCAGTGTGGATTTTAGGAAAGGTAGCTCACAGTCACGGGCATGAGGGTGAGGTATTCATAAATACCTCACGGCAGACAGAGCTACTGGGTGGCTCAGCGGGCACGCAGGCTGAGGGACTCTGAGGCCCCGGGGGCTGGGCCTTCCCTGCGGGGACATGATCCTTGGGAACAGACTCGGGCCCAGCTGCGGTTCCAGTCCTAGTGGGGTTGCCTCGGGGCACCTGTGTGTCCCTTCACATAATTGAGCCGGTACCACTTTCTATGCAAATACAAAATAAACATCTGATTCTGGGTGGTTTTTTTTCCTGCTTCCAAATTTGTTGACTCCTGGGGAAATTCTTTTGCAGCCCCTTTTGAATCTGTGTTCTCAAGTAGTTTATCCATCAGTATCAATTCTGTGAGCTGTGAAAGAAAAGACAAAATCAGTGTGTCTAAAGGCAACTGTTTCCATGCCTTCTTTCCACGTAGCGGGGATCAACCAGAGCCTGGCCAGAGGCTGCCTGGCCTGCAGCTGGGCAGAGGATGAGCTGCCAAAAATCACCATGTTCTTGAACACAGAGCCGCCGGGTCTGCCTCATACCTAGTCACCCCCGCTGCAGTTTCCAAGAGCTCACTAATTCCACCTGGGAAAGGGCTGACCCCTCTCTCAGGGTGTCATTTCCCAGGTCTGTGTAGGTCATGATGCCCAAGCCTATGGCTCCCTGGCCAAGGATGGAAGGAAGGTGGTTGTCGCCCCCCCCACTGAGGTCCCTGGGCCCGTCTCTGGGCAACAGGTGACAGCTGGGGGCAGCTACTCACACTGCTTTGGTATCCTGAGTGCCTCGCTGTCGAGCGCCATCACCTGATGTAGGACCCCACGGAACTGGTAAAGCACTTTGAGGTTCTTCTCTTCACCCACACACGGGTCATAGAAGCCGGGCAGCCCAGCCTGCAACAGACAGATTCTCACTGGAGATGGGCGTCTGAAGCCCAGTGGTGCTGCCGTCTATACCTGCCTGGAGGGGCAGCGTGGACACTGCCTACGAAGGATGCAAACCTTGGAGCCTGAGTACAGGAAACAGGATTTTAACAAGTTGCTTACTTAGTCCTAGACTTGCCCCACTGCCACACTAAAACACCCTCCATCTTCAAGGAAGCCCTGCCAAAGATGCGAGACCAGGAACCCATTCAGGGACCAGGGCTCTCTGCCTGAGCTCCTCTGTGCTTTAATTCACCTCTGGCACATACCCTGGCTCCCCCTCGAGCCTCCTGTGTGCTACAGGTGGACTCCTCCTTCTGGAACCAGGCAAGGCACAGAGCATGAGCTCCCAAAGGCAGGAGGTATATTCTGTTTGCTGCTGTAACTGGCACACAGTAGGTGCTCAAGAGACAGTTGGCAATGAATGAATGGACAGATGGACAAATGAATGGATGGACTGGTGAATGGCTGGCTGGCTGGCTGGCTGAAGTCAACCGCTCCAGTGTGGCTGTAACCTGGATCCTGGGCCGCACCCTGCACAGGGGACAGGGCAGCACGACGGGTTCCACTGCAGTGACATGGCCCTCTGGAGGGTCCCTCTTCCTCAGATGCCCCTCCCATCTGCCCGAGCGCCCACCTTGGAGGCCTCAGTGAGGATGAGCTTGGAGTCCTTCACCAGACACTGCAGGGGCACGGTCACATCAATCACCTTCACCTTCTCGCTCTTCTTGCTCTTGTCATTGACAAATTTCCCGTACCAGGCGTTGACGATGATGAGCCCTGAGAACAGGCCTGGTCAGGGCAGGGCAGCCTTGGTAGGCAACCCCTGTGCAGCCTGGCTGCAGGAGCCATGTGCCCCTGCGAGACCCCAGCACCCACCCCATCCTCAGAGAGGCCAGGCCTGCTCACCCATTCTGGACTCTTCAGCCTCGATTATTCTTCGGACAGATTCCTGCATCAACCGAACCTGCAAAGGACAAGGACGCTACTATCAGGGCCTCCCTAGGCTCCATCAGAGCCAGGGCCATATGCCTGGTGCCTATCGGTCCTGCTTGTCCATTTCTCTGGACATCGCTGCTATCACAGTCCTGGAAAAACAGTTCACTCACAGGGAAGAAAGAGGACAACACCCACCACTTTTTAACAAAACCTGGTTATGTCTTTGCAGGGTAACAGGGTCGACTCTTCAGGGCACAGACAGACGCTCCCAGCGCTGCATCCCACAGGCAATAATGTAAAGACTAGATGACTAGGCAGGTTGTCAGGGAAGAAAAGCCTAAGACCCAAGGCCCTTGAGACCACTCTGCAGGGTGTGAAGCATGCCCCCCACAGCCCCGGTCTAAGAAACGTGGACAACAAAGGATAGGAACAAGCATGCAGTCTGTGCTCTGCACGACGGGCAGGTCCACACTCAGGTCCTTGCAAGGCAGAGGCCTGGGAGGGAGCTGGTGACGCCACACTCACCGCGGCTTCTGCCTCCTGTTTCTTCTGCAGGATGTCAGTGGCTGTGCTTTCCCTCTGCTTCTCCAGTTCCCTGAGGTGAGGAAAACACAAGCCACGTGTGAGGAACGTGGGGTTACCACCACGGGAGGCCACAGTGCTCCGGGCTGGACCTGCGCCCTGCAGACAGCCTGTAAGTCTTACTGCGTTCCCAGTTCTAGAACTTTAAACACTATTTCCAAGACAAGTTCAAGCAAATCTGTTTGTCCCAGGCCTGTGCATCTGTCCTGTGGTCCCCAGATGGCTCTCCCCAACCTCAGTGGGAGGAGGACTACTCGCGGCAGTAATCTCAAGAAAGGGGGAGAGGGTGAGAATCTCAGGAGATGCCCCCAACCAGGCATTACCACAGGACACCCTTGGCAGGGACAACACATACTACCTGCAATAAAACACATGTATTTCCCTCCCAGTAAAGCATGGGGACCTGGGCAGCACACACATGTCCTGGCAGCCTTGGCCCAGCACATCCTCTGCTCCAAGCCTTCAGTCTGCTGGGGAATTAGGACCCCAAACTTAAATGAATCAGAGGCTGGAGGGGCCCCAAGAGCCTTCCTTGGGCTCCTCTCTCCCTGACTCTCTAAGTTCAGTGATCTATTAAATGAGATCATTGTAAAGTAATGAAGTTAAACCTCCTCTTGGGTTTAATGCTGTGCTAATGGATCATCTCTAAGAAACTGCAAAATAAATTCCATCTAGATGACTTCCAAGACTGTAGTTAACATGGGCCTTGTTTGTGCCAGGCAAAGAAATGGTTAGAATGAGAAAAAGGAAGACTTCTCATTTCTGTGGTCATGGCTTATAGTCCCAACAATTTGGTACACTAACTCTTAATTCTTTCTCAAAGTAGGAAATGTGGGTAGACAGAAGTTAACCCCAGTGTTGCCAACAGCAGTACTACTACTACTGATAACAACTAGTTAATAATCACTGAGGACTTGATGTGACCAGACACCGCAGTGAGCACTTAACACGTATTAATGCAGGTGGTTCCCCTCATAGCCCTGTGGGGTGGGTGCTACCCTCTCCATGTCACAGATGGGGAAGCTGAGCACAGGGCGGTTGGGCCCTGTACCCGCCAGTGCTGAGAACTCACTTCTCCTTCTGAGCCCTGAGGTAGGGTTTGATGACCAGGCGGTGCAGGGCGAAGTACAGCACGAGCGGCCCCACGGTGGCATAGAACACGGCACTGGGCAGCAGCTGGTCTGTCAGGTGAATGGGGAAGAAGTAGGTCTGACTGGCCCTATTTAACCTGAGAAGAGAACAAAGCCGAGCACACACTGAGTCAGGTTCCCAGGGAAAGGGTCGGGGGGCGAGGGTGTCCCAGCCCCAGGATAGAACCTCTTGACACACAGGAACTGGGGAGGCAGAACCCAGTCTGCACACTTCACGACCCACTCCCCCGAGTGGGCCCCTAGGTCTGACAGAAGAAAGGTCTCGATACCTGCTGACGCAAGCAGCAGACTCACACCTAAGCAGAGCAAACATGGCCCGAGGAGGCAGGAGTGGCCACTCCTCCAGGTCAGCTCTCAGGGACGGCTGAGTGGTTCCGACAGGCCCAGTCACCCCACAGATATCAACTGTGAACTGTGGACCAGTGTGACCCACACCCTCAGGGACCAGACAAAGGGCAGAAGCACCAAATGGTAAGCTTCTGGACTTTTATAAAAAACAGCCTTTAGCCTGAAGGCAATTCTCAGTCTATACCACAATGGATGATTAACGCTGCAAAGAAATCTGCAATCCTATTAAAGAATTAGAGTTCAGAGTCTGGGGCTCCCCATCTGGGAAGAGGGGGCCCCCCAAAGGGAAGTCACAGGTGGGGAGCCCCAAGTTCTGAGTGCCAGAGATCCCCAGTGGATGGCTGGTGCTGTGTTTTGACTGTTGCCACATGGGTAAGTCCAAGTTTGCAGCCAGACTTCACCCAAGTTCTAAAAGGAAACAAAAATTAACACTTAAAGAACAAAAACACAAAATAGAATTTCTGCAATGTATTGTTCACAGTATCCAGAATACAATACCAACTATGCTACATACCCAGATACAACGAGAGAAAGATAATAAAGAGTGATCTCAGATGCTGGAGCCAGCAGATAAGGATTTTAAAGCAACTATTTAAACTCTGCTCAAAGACATAACATATTCACTGATGGTTTAACATCAGATTGGAGATGAGAGAAGAGTAAGAGAATTTAGCAGAAATGATCCAATGTGAAGAACAAAGAGAAAAAGGATTGAAGACAAATGCACAGAGCCTCAGAAACCAGAGGTTTAGCACAGAAGTAATTAGGGCCCCAGAGAGGAGAGGAGGATTAAAACTGCAAAGAAATATGCACTCCTACTGGACTGAAGAATTAGAGCTCAAGAGTCTGGGGCAACACTGCAGCTGGGAAGAAGTATATTACATATTTAACATTTAATGAATTAATGGCCTAAAAGTTGTAAATTTAATAATTCTACAGAAATAAATAAATTTATAGAAGCAAGAAATTTAGCAAACCCCAAGCAGCAGACATAGAACAAAATCAGCTGTAGCTACACTCAAGTGCTGAGAAACAAAAGTAAAAAAAGTTGAGTAACCTGGGGGGTGTGGGGTGGGGAATAAACAAAAGAGACATTAAAGTGTAACAGTTCAAAAGGACAATGACTTGTCAGAAACAAAGGAGCCAGAATAGAGCAGAACACTGTGAGAACAATGAGAGAAAACTCCATTAACCCTGAATTCTATACCCAGTGACAAGACCCTTCAGTAAAGAAAGCAACTCCAGAAATGATGAAGAATGCTCAACACTAAAATGAGAACTCCAACAACCCAATAATGAAACAGACAGAAGATATGGATAGATGCTTCACTTAAAAAAAAAAATAAAAAGGATGTCAAATAAGCACCTGAAAAGCCAGTCAACATCTCAGACAGGAGGTAAATGAGAATCAAGAGGACCACAATGGGACACACCTATAACACCTGCTAAAACAGGTGGAATTTAAAAAAAAAAAAAAAGACCCTCCCAAGGGTTGGTAAAGATGCGGAACAACGAGAACTCTCAGAGCTGCTGGTGGGAAAGGAAGAGGAGACCACCGCTCTGGAAAATGGCTTGGGACTCTTATGAAGTCAAACACAGCCTCCCAGATGACTCAGATCACCAGGGTATCTACCCATGAGAAATGAGAACTTGTGTTCACACAAAACTTGAATATGAATGTCTGTACTGACTGAATTTCTAACTTCCTGAAGTTGGAAACAACTGAAGTATTTACACAACAAATAAACCGTGGCACATCTACGCCATGCAGCACCCAACAGCAATGAGGAGGACCACACTGCTGATGCCTGTAACAGTGTGGATTATCTCAAATGCATGATGCTCCTGAAAGGAGCAAAGGCTTCACCTTGGATGACTCCAATTATGTGGCATCCTGGAAAAAGGCAAAAATATAGGGAATGAAGGAGATGTCCTCTACACCCTACCTGTGATGGCGCTTACATGTAAAAAACAAGATGAAACACAGCGGGTAAAATCTGAGAGGTGCTCATCACAAGGGAAAACAAAAAATTTTTTTTTTCTATTTCTTTAATTTTGTATCTACATGAGATGGTGGATGTTCACTAAATGTGCTGTAATAATTGTTTCATGATGTATGTAAGTCAAATCATTATGCCATACACCTTAAACTTATAAAGCACTGTTTGGTCAATTATATCTCAATAAAACTGGAAGGGAGGAAAAAAAGGGATGAACCAGAAAATTGGAGAAGCCCTGTATTTATGAAAGAAATTGAACTCACTATCAAACACCTTCCTATAATGAAAACTCAGGCTTGGCTGATTTCACTGCTAAAGTCTATGAAACTAAGGGAAAAAAAACAGCCAAAACCATTCTTATACAAATTCTTTCAGAAAACAGAGGAAAGCATAATTCCTAACTCATTTTATCAGGCTGGCATAACTTGGTCCAAAACCTGATAAATACATAATAAAAAGACAATTATAACTGGCATCCCTTAAAAACTAAGATTCATAAATTCTTAGTAAGACACCAGCAAATCAAGCAATGTATATAAAGTATCACATGTCATGATCCAGTGGAATTTGCCTCAGGAATGTAAGGTTGGTTTAACATTCAAAGATTAGTGTGATTTGTCAAATAAATAGAATATAAGTTAGCAAAGAGCAGCTGCTATTGTTGAACTGAAGTGCCTTCCGGGAAAACCGTGGTTTACACAACCAATATAACTTGGATGATGCAGCCTATGGACAAAGATGCAGGCTGGCATCCTTGGGAGAGGAATTCAGTTCAGACTGTGTAACGTGACTTCTGCCGGGGAGGAGCATTTACAACAGAGGACGGAGCCTCACTGGAGGTCCCGATGTGGGAGGTGGGGGAGGAGAAGGGACTGGGATGCAGAAATCTGCTGGCTCCGTGTTCTTCATTAAATCTTGGGCATCTTCAAGTCTCAGCTTAGAGAAGTGCCTGACGCCAGCTGTGGCCATGGGGACCTGCCTTGACCTCAGCTCCATGGCTGAGCTGTGGTCTGCTTTCTCTCACTCACGCGCTTACAGAGTCCCTCCTCAGCACGAGGCTGTGTCCTTGGCGGCAGGAGCACAGAGAATAGATAAAATGGACTGAGTTACGGCGCTCTGAATGAGGGGTGGCGAGGGATGGATGGTTTGTCCGACGGAGAAGGTACAATGGAGAATAAGAACTGGGCAAAGGGGAAGTGGACGGCTTGGGGCAAGGTGAGGGCCACCAGTTTTAACAGGGTGACAGGAGACGGTTTTGGCAATCAGGTGACATGTGAGCAGAGACCTGAGGGAACTGAAGAAATCAGCCGTGAGGCTCCCTGGGGACTGGGGAGCAGCACGTGCCAAGCCTAGAAGCAGGAGTGGGCTTGGTGTGCTCCCGAAGCAGCCTGGAGGCCAGAGGGGAGTGAATGGGGTCGGGTGGGGGGCAGAGAGGACAGTGAGGGGCTAGATCCTGCGGGCTCTGAGGGGGCCGATTTGCCCCTAACTGAGGGAGTCCCTGAGGGCCTTAAGTAGAAGGCTGTGAGATATTGGGAGAGCAGCGTCCCAAGGGAGGAGACTAGTCAGGAGGACACGAACAGTAATTCAGACTGGAGATAGTGGCCACAGACATTGTGAGAAACGGTCGGACTGAGGATGTGCTTTCTGAGGAGAGAGAATGCTAAGCTGGGAGACCCACTCCCGGGTTTCTGGCCAGAACCGGCAGAAAAACGGAGCTTGAGGTGCCGAAAGGGGGTGGACTCCAGGCCCAGCAGGCTGTGAAGGGCGCACGGGACTGAGGGTGGGGGACCATGGGAGTGGAGGTGTGACATTTGTGATGCTGTGAGGTCCCCGTGGTGTGGGGAAGGATGAGGGATGCACAGGCTGGAGCTGGAACCCTGAGCGCTGTGTGAGCATCACAGAGCCCAACAGTGGTGAAGCCAGGAGGTCGGAGCAGACCATTGTGGGGTGCCTTGACAGCCAAGGGTCTGAGAGCGAGGCCTCTGTTTAGAGGCGACCAGCCAGGCCACTGAGGTGGGAGGATCTGGCGCAGAGAGCCCTAAGCTGCCTGCTCTGCGGACCACGGACCACGAGGCGTGGTCACAGTGTGGCGTGTGGGTGAGCGGATGTGCGGGGCCACCCCAGGGCATTTCAGGCAAGGGGAGGCAAGTAGGGACAGGCGGGCACAGGAAGTTCTCTGAAGCAGAGACTTGGCCTTACTGATTGAATGTTGGGCTTCTGGACTTCACGTTTGCTGACACACCCCATACAGAAGCAAGCACGTCTCTAACAGAATTCTATGCAAAGGCTCTTTCTTAACGCAGGTGAAGCTCAGGTGAGTTACCAGGTGCGAGACAACCCTTGGCCAGAAGGACCCGAGTCCAACCTACTTGATTTTGAGGGAAACTCCCTGCGGGACTCCAATGCTGACAGCTGCCCCGAGGACGCTGTGCCTGGAGATCTTCCTTTCTGCTCCGTACTCCACCACCGTCCCAAAGAAGCCGGCCCTGCAGGGAGCAGACCAGTGAGCCAGCCAGGCCCCTTGCTCCTGCTCCCCCACCAGCCCTATCACCACTGGCAGCCGTCACCCAGGACGGAGGCCAGGCCCCCATCCCCAACTCCCTCGCCCTCCCACCACTCGCGGGGAGGACGTTCAGGATGGAAAACTCTGGTCAATGACCGGAGAGGAGTCTGACATCAGATGCCAAGCTCCTCAGGGTGGGATGGCAGGGTAGCAAGTCCCGCAGCCTCACAAGGGAAACATGGATTAACCCTAGCAGGTGCCTGATGGCACAGACCAGGTGGACTCCTGCGTCGGCCCGGCCAGCACTCACTTCAGGGACCCCTTCACTCGCGTCTGGTCGTCATCCTGGAATTTGTGCTGATAGCTGATGAGTGCGAAGGAGTGAGGGATTCCAAGCTGGGGAGGTGAAGAGAGAAAAGGCAGCTGAGACCGAGCTGAGGGGGTCACCCCACCTGGGGGCCGAGCACTGTCTGGGGCAGGGGGCTTGTCCCACAGGGTGTGTAAAAATCCACCTGGAGCTGATCTTTACAAACTGGGAGATTTCACTTAAAAACCCAGTCTTCTGACTTCTCAGGAAAAATAAAAACTCTTGCACCCGAGCACGCGTTCTCACAGGGCAGCAGCTGTGTCAAGCTCCTGCCCAGCCACCACAGCACCCCGACCCCGATCCTGTGGCCTTTGGCGGAAAAGACCTCTCACTTTATGACGGGTGGAACACAGCTCCCCTGGAGCCCGAGCACAACCCTGTTTCAGCTCCTGAGGGCAGATGGATAGAACCTGCCTTTGGCCCTGCAGGCAACAGACTTGGGGGTGGGGGGCAAGGGACTGGAGGAGGGTCCCCCGAGCTGTCCTCACCTGCAGGGCCACGGTGAAGTGGCTGGTCTTGGTGTCCCGGACGATGCTGGTGTTCATGGCTGACTGGACACCCCAGCGCCACTGCAGGTAGCCCACAGTATTCTTGTCCAGGTTCCGGGCCAGGACGGTGGTGAGGCCTGGCCGGATGCCGCGGGACGAAAACTGCAGGGCACAGTGTGTCGTCACAAAGCTGGGGGGATACACAGAGAAAGGGCCCTGGATGACACTGGGCTTGCTGCCAGGTTTGGCTGCGTCCTCTCCGCCAGTCCCCACCCTGCTCACCATCACTCCCACGGTTTCCCAGGTGGCTCCCCGCAAGGGGGCAGGAGGGTGATCTGGGGACTCAGTCCACTTATCCCCCCACCCCATCCCATTCCAACTGCAGCCACAACTGCAGAAGCACCTGTGTGTCTGCGTTCCTAAACCAGCAGGTCAAATCCTGCTGCAAGTTAGAACCACCTGCAGGCTCCCACCCCAGGTGTACTGACTTATAGACTTGGCATGGAAAAGCCGGTCAAGCGGTGCTAACGTGAGGCCATGTCTAAGTGCCTCTCACCCAGAGCCCGCCCCAGACCAATGGAATGATTTTTCTGGGGGCGGTGGGCAGGCATCAGTGTAGTTTCCAAAGCTGCCGTGTCAGGCTGACGTGCACCCACAGCCACAAAGTACTAACTGAAGCTGCTTGAAAAGCTAGAAAACTGTCCCTCTGCCAGGCCTGTGAAGTTCTGTTTCCAAGGGAGTCAGCCCCACCTTCTGGTTAAACAGGGGTATTTCATTTCAGTAACAAAGGGATTCACAGAACTTTACTAGATGAGCAAATAGCTGGTCTCCAGTGAGCAGCCCTCACTAGATGGATGCCTGTTTAGTTTTTCTCCTTCCTAAGCTCTTGCCCACTGGCTCAGACAGTTGAGTCTGCTTGCGACGCAGGAGACCTGGGTTCGATCCCTGGGTCAGAAAGATCCCCTGGAGAAGGAAATGGCAACCTACTCCAGTATTCTTGCCTGGAGAATCCCATGTATGGAGGAGCATGGCAGGTTATAGTCTATGGGGTTGCAAAGAGATGGACACAACTGAGTGACTAAGACTTTCACTTTCACTTTCCTCTGGGTATCTGTGTCTCACTTTCGCCACTAAAATAATAATACATGTGGTAACTAAGGACATTTGCACCTGTGCACACAAAACTCTTCCCAAGACCAGACGAATGAGGAACCAACTCCTTGCTCTCCATAGGGCCCCCGACCCAAGCCTGCCCTCATTTATCTGACACTCCAGCCACACCAGACCGAGGTCCCATTATTCTACTTTGGCCACAGTGGGATCTGGAGTCGGGGGGGGCAAGCAGATAGAGGACAGATAAAAGTCACCCTGAGATGTCAGGCAGGAACATTAAAAAAAAATCAAAACATAAAGAATGAGATCTCTGCTTAACAAAGTAATATGATTTCGTGTTCTTATGGAGCATGTCCTAGAGAGAGATGAACTCTGGGGAGAGAGCAGTAAGGCAGGCACTGCCCGGGGAGACTGAGAACATCCTACAGGCTGCTTGCCAGGCTCTGGGCCGACTCCACACCCACCAACAGTCACCAGTTTGGACTTGGAAGTAATTTGACCCTGGGACCCGGGCACCCATAAGAGCAGACAGAGTACTAATTAGCTAGTATTCTTTCTATAAATCTTCACGATCCCAAGTCTGATAAACCAGGCACCATGATGAGATTCAATTCCAGGCACGCGAAAGCTGCAGCACGGGAGGTGAAAATCCTAAGCAGACAAGGTTAGGACAACACTGATATGGACACATGCTACCCACAGGGAGTTCTGGTTAAAAGCCTAGATCCCGGTGTCCCTCCCAGACCCAGTGGGTCCGGGTCCCAGAACAGAGGCCAGAGAAACCATGGGGGGTCCCTGAGCCAGGGCATCCGGTTCACCCCATGCCCTCTGCCTGGAAGTCCCGCTCATCTCTGCATGGGACTCTGCTCATCTCCACCAGCTTCCATCTCCATCTGTCAAGAAGCCAAGCCCTCTCTCACAACACCACTCACTCTGTGCATCACATGGCTCTGCACACTTGCCTTTACCAGGAACTGAGGGTAGGCTCGTACATGAACATCTGACTGGGGATGAAATACTATTCTTTCTTTTTTAAAAAAGATGTTACAATCCCTGGGTCGGGAAAACCCCCTGGAGGAGGGCATGGTAACCCACTCCAGTATTCTTGTCTGGGGAATCCCATGGATAGGAGAGCGTGGTAGGCTACAGTCCACAGGGGTGCAAAGACTGAAGCAACTTAGCACACTCTTGAGTTGTGGTATGCAGGCTTCTCACTGTGGTGGCTTCTCTTGTCATGGAGCACAGTCTCTACAGCAGGGGCTTCAGCAGTTGTGGCTCGTGAGCTCAGCTGCTCCGTGGCATGCGAGATCTTCTTGGACCAGGGATTGAACCCGTCCCCTGCACTGGTGGTCAGATTCCCAAACTCTGGGCCACCAGGGAAGCCCTGCTTTTCTTTTCAGACATGTGCTCCTTTCCAGGACTCCTTCAGCTGCATTTCAGTCCCCAGATGAACGTGCTGTTTATCCTCCTCCCAGTTCTTCTACCTGAGCTCACACAGGTACCCCTAATGGGGAATAAGGACACCTGTGTGTCCTACAGGGGACAGTGCTAGGGGTGCAACATCACTGCAAAAGCAAAGATGGAGCTGGGGTGGGGGCAGTTTAATGTTCTGGCGTAACACAAAGCTACCAGAGACAGGTAGACAGAATACCTCACTCACTGCCTCACTGACTGGTAAAGCCCCACTCCAAGTCTGAAACGGTTCTCTGCAACAAACAAATGACCCACTAGTGCATAAAGACTCAGTCAGACCAGGGCCCACTTCTCTGTGAACGTGCACTCCCTCCAGGGCCTCACATCATGGTGCTCACAGCCCACGGGACCAGGCAGGGGCCTCATCCCCACAGAGCAGGAACCTGAGGACCATGGAGGGCCTGGCCCCGGACTGGGACGAGAGCAGACCCCTCCCACCCCACTGCCCAATCCAGTGCTCTCTGCACCAAGCACGCCGCCCAGACCCCGTGCGAGCATGGCAGGGTCTGCCCGCAGTGACTGTGCAGGTCAGAGAAGGTGACTCCAGATGACCTGACAAGCAAAAGACACAGGCTCTGGTCTAAACCCACAAAGACCACCAAAGGGCATTTGTCTCAATATACTTACCATCTTGGTGTGAGATTACGGAACAGCTTCAGGCCAAATAAAGGCCCCTGCAGATCCCCAGCTCCAAATTCTAACTGTTCAAAAAAAAAAGGGAAAAAGAATTAATGGTTTTTTCCTCACAGCAGTAACCAAGGTCTCAGGAAGCGCTTCTGGTTCTAATTTCTTCATATAATTCAAAGCCACCAGCCCTTGCCAGGCCTCTAAAAGTAGGGGCAGGAAGAATTTTATCTCATTCTAACTTTTGACAAAGGGAGATGACTATGTGCACAGACCCAAAGGAGGAAGGTTTCAGTGAGGTGAGTCTCCTCAAGGAGCCCCTTCCCATACAGCGCTGTGGGCTCCCGGTCCCCGTCGCCCTAGCTGGGGCCATCTGCACACCGCTTTCTGCCAGCAGGTGCGGCCCCACCCGAGCAGTGCTGGCTCCTGTGCGGGCCCATTTGCTCTGCCTCACCGTCCACAGGTCTCACAGGTGACTGGAGATGGCTCTCAGGGGTCTGACATGAAACCCACCAGCGGCTCTGCTCTCACAGCCATGAAGTCCAGCCGATCCTGGCTGCCTCATTACTAATCTAGGTGACTTTCAAGGCAACTCCTCAATGTTAATTTGATGCAGCTCAATTTGCTTGGCAGAACTGGCTGTTTAATGACTGCTGAGCAGCGAACCAGCGCACTGAGACGGAGGTGACCCACCTTCCGAATTGTGCAGGAGAAGGGAAGGGCCTGCAGGCTTGTTTAAGGAACAGAGATGCTGAGTCTCTAGATTTCTGGAAGCTCCAGGGGAATCCTGTTGCTCTGTCCTGACTGTGAGCTGCCCGGCAGGCTCAGCCCGCCCCTCAGATGTGAGACACAGGTTTCTAGTGGGGACCGTCAGTTGATACAAGTTTGACAGCTGCACCCTGTTACACCCGATGTGGCCACTGAGGTCATTCTGAGTGTGGGCTCTGTGGCTGACAACCTGACCGCCTGCTGGCGTGCTTACCTCTCCCCAGCCCTTTGCAGAAGTGACTCGTCTGAGTGCGAAGTTAATGGAACCCCCTCCATTCCCATTCTGGGTTGAGAGGCTTCCAGAGAGGATGGCTGTGTCTGAAGCTGTCAGGGGTGCCTAGAAAATCATATCAGCCAGTAATACAGTAATCGAAGTAACCAGAAGTGCCGAGGACAGCAGTCTGCCCAAGGCGCCCTGAGTGTGAGGCAGAAGCACATGTATATCTGTGGCTTGAGTGGGCGGGATGTGGGCCTGCCGCACCTCTCTCCCATTATGCCACCACGATCAGGTTTTGCAAAAGCTTGAACGCGCAAATTCCAAAAAACCAGGAGCAATGTAGGGCTAGATGTTGGTTTCCAGCGTCCCCTCAGCATCAGGCTCCATGGTGATATCACCCATGGGGACGTCCAGGACTCCCTAGTCCTGCCTGCGACCACACTGACTGACTGGAAGCCCCAGGAGGGGGAGAGTTTCCAAGTTGGGACTTCACGTTCCAGGCTGATGCACTTGAGCAGAAGTGGATGAGCTGAAGGGGCAGAGACCTGCCGTAACCGTCAGCAGATGGCCCAACATTGGCCAGAGAGATGACCCCAGGGCTCAGCACAGAGGAGCATGTGCCTTCAAACTAAGACCCATTCCTGGAATTTCCCAGAGATCTGGTTTTGCTTCTAAAATCATCATGACCTTGGCTCCCACTTCTCCTAGACCATGAGCGTGGTGGTGGCTCTCCACCACCTGCTGGAGAACCCCGAGACCCTGAAGCTAACTGCCACCCTACCCCCCACCCCATACTCATGCCGCTAACATGTGGGTCAGGGAAGCAAGATAAATAAGGTTGTGACTGGAGCTATTCTTTTTTCAAGTGGCTAACTGCATCCTTTCATGAATAAAGATGAGAAAACCCTGAGCAGACTTTCATTCCAGCTGTGTGCTGTGCTGCACCTCATTAACCCAAGCTCCCCCCAACCCAAGCCCCCCTGCACAGGGGGACACATCTGTGCACTTTACCTCAATGGACTGTGATATGTGCATCTTGTTAATTTCAATCTGTGGAAAGCCGCTTCCGGACACATCCTCATACTCCTCCTCGTAGCGATCAAAAAGGTCAGTGGCATCGATGCCAACGCTGATGGTCCCCTGTGGTAGAAAAACAGGCCATAGCACCAGGCCTGGGATTTGTGGGAAGAAAGACAATACTACACACTCCAGCAGCCACGGGATGCACTGGGCACTCACAACTCCACTCACCCACAGAGCATGAATGTCACAGCTCACACCAAACAGTGGCCGAGCACCAACGTCTTCTAGAGTCAGAAAACCAGGGATGAAGTGGGCCAGTGACTTACCAAGGACGAGTGGTGGGAAATGAAACAAAACTGCCCTGCTCATGGCTCTCTATTGCTTATCTATGGATTTAATCCACAAATGCAGAAAACAACCAGAAACTAGCTACATGGGAGAAACACTCTTAATATTAAATTCTAAACACTGATATGTCACAAAGTACCTTAAATTTCTTTAAAACATAAAAAAATACCTTCAAAGACAGAGAAGTGCAAACCAAATTATATACAAATGGGAGATTTAAAAATTATTCTGCCTCAAGTTATGAGAAACAGAACCCCCTGTTCTCTCAGGAAACAAGCTAAAATTTTGCTGATTGATAAAAATGTTCTTTATTCAGGAAATCAATATTATTTTCTTTTACTGTCATAAGACTTTTCAAATTAGCAGATACTTTTTTTTAAAAAATGCACTTTATTTGGCCCTGTCAGGTCTTAGCTGTGGCACAAAGCATCTCTGCTGCAGCGTGCAGGCGCTCTAGTCATGGTGTGTGGGCTTCCTTGCCCTACAGCATGCGGGGTCTTAGTTCCCTGGCCAGGGCTCGAACCCATGCCCCCAGCACTGCAGGGTGGATTCTTACTACTGGACCACCAGGGAAGTCCCTCAAATGGGCAGCGACCTTAGTCCAACATATAAAGATATGACTCCACACACATTTCCATTAAATTCTCTGCAGTACATGAAAAAACTATTGAGGCTTAATTTACATATAATATAAATTGCTCCTGTTTGAAGTGTGCAATTTCATGAGTTTTGACAGGTGTGTACACTTGTGAAACCACCTCCAAAATCACTATACAGAATACTTCTATCACCCCAAAAGAAGCTTAGGAGAATGTGTTTTTCTCCTGGGGACGGGGACTTGTGAACGAAAATGTGTGAGGGAAACGCAGGAGGAGACAGTGAGTATCCATCTGCCTGTGAGGAGTGCCGGGGGACGGAGGTGGCAGAGGGGCTGGAGGCTGCCGGGCTTGGGTGGTCACGGGAAACGTCACAGGTGGGATTTATCTGGGATAACACAGTTTAACCCTGATGTTTTGGTTGGCTCAGCAATCACCCTAGATGTTTTTTTAAAAAGTGATATCATCACCTACAGTATTTCCATCACCATCACTATATAGTCCATGGAATTCTCTAGGCCAGAATACTGGAGTGGGTAGCCTTTCCCTTCTCCAGGGGATCTTCCCAACTCAGAGATCGAACCTAGGTCTCTTGCACTGCAGGTGGATTCTTTACCAGCTGAGCTACCAGGGAAGCCCATTTTCATCACCAACAGGAATCAAACTTGTGTCCTCTACACTGGCTGGCAGATTCTTATCCACTGTGTCACTAGGGAAGTCCCTATAAACCGTTTCTCAACACTGACCATCCACGGTGCTAATTCCAGCCATATGAAAATTAAAAGCCTCAGATCTGCCTTAGAAACACCAGCATTTTCAACAGTGAGTTGTTCTTTAAAGAATATGGTCAAAAGTGAGGCTGCCAGCAGCAGGGATATTTACATACAGGTGTGGAAAAAATGACTTTGCATTTAGATCAAAAGGCAGTTCCTCTATGTTAATTTCACTCTTTTTTCCATGCTAAGGTTCATAAGGTACACATGAGAGATACAGCAATAGCTGTTTGTAAGCTGGTATCAACAGAAGCTCACAACTGCTAATGCACCAGTTTTTTTACTGCTAATGCACCAGTTTTACATCGGTGTCAACCAGACGTTTCAAATGAAAAATGACTTTGATTTGCTGAAGGTGAAACACCTGACATTACTGTAAATGTTACAGTAAACTCGGTCAAAAAGTTCCACACTGAATGTAAAATGGTGTGCTTTTGTGGTGATACTCAAATACCAATTCTGGTGAAGGTACAGCCTCCTGGTAAAAGTGTTTTAATTAAATCAAGAAACCCATGGAGCAGAAATAGTCTTAGAATTATAGTGTACACAATGCGTAATTTTGTTAAAACGAGCTGTGATAGTCTGCCTACGGAAAATAATGCTAAACTATCAAAATACACAAACACTTTTGTGTATTCAGAGTAAAAAGATAATTTCTTGTGAAGCCTATTCTGAATATAAGAACTGCGGCATGTGTTAAACCTGTGTATTAGGAAAGTGTGAACCTTTGTAGAACTGCTTTTAAAAACCCTTAAATCATGCAATTTTTAAATATTTAAGAAACTGCAATCATTGAAAACTGTGTAACTAAGAATACTGTGAAACGGATCTCTCGAGGAAGGAAAAACTAAACACATAAAATGAGAGTTCTGTTAACTGCATTTTGAAATTCCATAATGGCATTTTGGAATATCTCAATTTTGGGTAGGAACTGTCTGGTGGAGCTGTCATTTTCAATTAAATTTATATTCTTTCCTGGAATGGGATGAAATTAGCAAGGTTTGCCTACAGTTTTATGGCATCTCAACTTGAAGCATTCAAAAGATCATCAACAATTTATTTCAGAAATTTGTCGAAGAGAAAAAATACTCTGAATGGAGGCAAAAAGACAACACCTGTGAAAAATATTTACATGTTCTGAAACAAAGAAATTTAAAATTGAGAGTATTTTCTCAATTAAGAATACTACAGTTTACAGACCACAATAACAAATTATGGTGAGGATGCAGAGAAAAGGGAACCCTACCACACTGTTGGTGGGAATGTAAACCAGTGCAGCCACTGTGGAAAGGTTCCTTAAAAAACTAAAACAGAGCTACCATATGTTCCAGCAATTCCATTCCTGGGTATAGAGACAAAGAAAATGAAAATACTAATTGGAAAAGATGTATGTACCCCTAACAGAAGCAGAAGATATTAAGAAGAGGTGGCAAGAATACACAGAAGAACTGTACAAAAAAGATCTTCACGACCCAGATAATCACGATGGTGTGATCACTCACCTAGAGCCAGACATCCTGGAATGCGAAGTCAAGTGGGCCTTAGGAAGCATCACTACAAACAAAGCTAGTGGAGGTGATGGAATTCCAGCTGAGCTATTTCAAATCCTGAAAGATGATGCTGTGCAAGTGCTGCTCTCAATATGCCAGCAAATTTGGAAAACTCAGCAGTGGCCACTGGAAGAGGTCAGTTTTCATTCCAATCCCAAAGAAAGGCAATGCCAAAGAATGCTCAAACTACCGCACAATTGCACTCATCTCACATGCTAGCAAAGTAATGCTTAAAATTCTCCAAGCCAGGCTTCAGCAATACATGAATCGTGAACTTCCAGATGTTCAAGCTGGTTTTAGAAAAGGCAAAGGAACCAGAGATCAAATTGCCAACATCTGCTAGATCATCAAAAAAGCAAGAGAGTTCGAGAAAAACATCTATTTCTGCTTTATTGACTATGCTAAAGCCTTTGACTGTGTGGATCACAATAAACTGTGGAAAATTCTGAAAGAGATGGGAATACCAGACCACCTGACCTGCCTCTTGAGAAACTTTTATGCAGGTCAGGAAGCAACAGTTAGAACTGGACATGGAACAACAGACTGGTTCCAAATAGGAAAAGGAATATGTCAAGGCTGTATATTGTCACCCTGCTTATTTAACTTATATGCAGAGTACATCATGAGAAACGCTGGGCTGGAGGAAGCACAAGCTGGAATCAGGATTGCCGGGAGAAATATCAATAACCTCAGATATGCAGACGACACCACCCTTATGGCAGAAAGTGAAGAAGAACTAAAGAGCCTCTTTTTGAAAGTGAAAGAGGAAAGTGAAAAAGTTGGCTTAAAGCTCAACATTGAGAAAACTAAGATCATGGCATCTGGTCCCATCACTGCATGGCAAATAGATGGGGAAACAATGGAAACAGTGACAGACTTTATTTTCTTGGGCTCCAAAATCACTGCAGATGGTGACTGCAGCCGTGAAATTCAAAGACGTTTACTCATTGGAAAGAAAGTTATGGTCAACCTAGACAGCATATTAAAAAGCAGAGACATTACTTTGCCAACAAAGGTCCATCTAGTCAAGGCTATGGTTTTTCCAGTGGTCTTGTATGGATGTGAGAGTTGGACTATAAAGAAAGCTAAGGGCTGAAGAATTGATATTTTGAACTGTGGTGCTGGAAGACTCTTGCGAATCCCTTGGACTGCAAGGAGATCCAACCAGTCCATCCTAAAGGAGATCAGTACAGGGTGTTCACTGGAAGGACTGACGCTGAAGCTGAAACTCCAATACTTTGGCCACCTGATGCAAAGAACTGACTCATTTGAAAAGACCCTGATGAAGGGAAAGATTGAGGGCAGGAGAAGAAGGGGACGACAGAGGATGAGATGGTTGGATGGCATCACCGACTCGATGGACATGGGTTTGGGTGAACTCCGGGAGTTGGTGATGGACAGGGAGGCCTGGAGTGCTATGGTTCATGGGGTCGCAGAGTCAGACACGACTGAGCGACTGAACTGATGTACCCCTAAGTTATATCACAGCAGCATTATTTACAAAAGACAAGGACGCAACCTAAAGTGTCCATGGACAGAGGAACAGATAGAGAGGATGTAGTACATATATACAATGGAATACTACTCAGTCGTAAAAAAGGACAAAAGCTTGTCACTTGCAACATGTATGGACCTAGAGGGTATTATTCTTGAATATAAATGGAGCACAATCTATAAAGATTTTGAGTCATTACGTTGTACACTTGAAACTAAAATAATACTGTAAATCGGTTATACCTCAATTTTTAAAAAGATGATAAGTGAAATAAGTAAAAGATAAAGAATATTACAGTATACAGAGAAGAATCAAATATGCCAAAAATGTCAAAATCTACTAAATAAATTTTCTC